GCTGGGGGAAGGGTTATTGGTACGGGTTCGAGCCGTGGAAGACTCGAATCCGCTCTTTCTGTGCGGAAAGGAGAGTTGAAGCAGAGAGCCTGCGTGTTACAGGTGCACAGATGAGACCGCTACCCCATTGCACCCCGCTAATGAAGATACAGAGCCGCACGAGTCAGGGTTTTTTCCTTTATCATGCTAAATGACTACCCAGCGAGTGTTGCCCTTGCAGAGGGACAGTTTTTCTGGGCTGTGACAATTTGCTGCGTTGTTGTTAAACAGCTGCACTGTGACTTGGTTAGAGAACAGCAAAGCAGTGTTAGTGGTGAAGGTGTGTCAGGCTTGTGCTGTTCGAAAAGCCTTGGCCTGTTTTCTGGGCCTGGCCTGTGTTCTACAGTTACATCTTTTTTTTTAAAAAAAAATGATAACATACTTGAACATCATTCTTAATAGCTGTTTTCAAAAATATCTTCAGAATTACTACAAAACAATACTGCTTTGCAGTTTGCATGTGTCGCTTAGGAACACCCTTTTTAAAGAAGGTATTGGAAGCATTGAGTCTGCTTTCCTTGTGCCAGAGCGGTAGCGTAGGGAAATCACACAGCTTCTGATTTTTTTCCCTTTATTTTTTAATACAAAAAGTGCTCATATTATCTTACAAGAGGATGGAATAGGGTTGTATTATTTGGCAACTCAGTTACAACACACAAATCATGAAGCTGGACATCAGGACTTTATGTTCCATTTTATCATGCATCTAAACCCCATATGCTCTCATCCCAAAAAAGGGAAAGGATCAAGAAGTAACAGCAACTCTAGAACCAAATTCTTAAATCTATCTGTAGCTCTTTATCACGTTTTGCAGTGCAAATTAGGTATCTAAATACCTCTGAGAACTTGAATTTAGTTCAGTTTACTATGGTGAACTGTGTTTGTTCTCACTTAAAGGCGTTTCTGAGAAGAGTTGTAGACTTTGTGAAGAAAAATCTGTATATGTTTTATCATCTTGCCTGACAGTGTGCTTCATGTCTGCCAGCATGTCTGGCATGCGTATTCTTAACACGCTATGGGAAAGGATATCTCAATAATTCTAGCTCTTATTTGGTTAAATAGAGTGGTGCACCTTAAACATAAGCACCCATAAAATTCAGTACCATGAAAACAAATGAGGACTATTAAAATTAAATCAAAGTCAAAAAGCTGAAAATAAAAGCCAGTTTGCCACAGCACATAAAAGCTTTTAAAAGCATTGAAGAGTGTGAGCAAGTTTGTGCCTCTGACTAGCTCCAGAAGAGGCATTACCTGTACGTTATCTGTCTGTTTTTACCAGGGAGAACACTCAGCTGCTCGGATCTTTCTGAATATCCCATGTCATTGAAGCTGACTAGGCTGTTCACCTTCTGACCAAAGGTTTATGAATGTAAAGCAGAAATTCTCCTGAGCAGGTGTAACTACATGCTGCCTGCACACCTGAATTATGCTGTTACTCATGTTTGCCAGCTGGAGAAGCTGACAGGCCTTCCAGTGAAAACTCAGTCAACAAATGCTTGATGAGGTTAATCTTGAAATCCTTATTCAGTGTTCTGAAATTAATTAGTTTGCTGTTCTGTGCATTTCTTTTGTTTGATTCCTTTCTTCTGGTTTGTGAGGTGAGGCTGTGAGATACCTGTAGAGAAAGAGTCCACTTCAGTGCCCTGGAGATGTCAGTTCCATTTAACTGTAAGCTGTGTCTGCACACTGAGGTTATCTCTGCAATGCCACTGGGAAGTGTGGGCATTAATGCTTATTGTAAAATGAGAATATAAATATGCAGAAGTGCTATACATATTATTTAAAAATACTTCCAAGTTAAAATTTGAAAACTTTGGCTCAAAAGGCCAGCCAATGTCAGTTCTCCTATTACTTTGCATTATTTGCTAAGAATGTTAGCTTGACTGCATTCAGGGGCCCTGGGTAAAGTATGAGCAAATAAGACTCAGTATCTTCTGACTGACTTGCATGAAATCCGACAAGGGTAAGTTAAGCTTCTCGTGCGTGTTCTTAGCTTGAACTCTGTAAACGGAAGAGTGTGTCCACTGATTATTTAAAATTCTACTTCTTTTTGTAGACTTCCTTTGTTGTTGATGAAGTCAGTAGCATCATTAAAGAGGTAAACTTACATTTTCATTTTGTTGGTGTGAAAGTATGGTATGTTGTATGCTGTGTGCTAAAAGACATTCAAGAAAATCTGATAACTGATATGTAATAGATTTCTAGAGGGGTGGCTGTCAAAATACAGATAATTGTTGATTTAACCAATGTGCATACTTTAAGAGGAAATGATACCTGTCCTTAGTTGTGATAGGTATTACAAATCCAAAAGATAATTAAAATAATTCCATATGCTCCTCTGTGGTTGCAGTATATCCCTATTAGAATTTCTAGGGGGATGTTGTATGTTAAACCCTATAGAGATAGGTTTTATGTTTCAGTACTATGTAGGGGTTTTTTATAGGCTATCTGCATATGTGTGTTACTGTGTTCTTTTGAGATGCTTTTCTTCCAGAATTAGTTCTTGTTTGTTTGAAATGATTGAACTGTTTTTGTTGCTAAGAAACATTAATCTCCTGTCTACAAAATTTCCAGATGGATTCCTTTTTTTGTGTCCAGAGTTCGTCTTGTAGAGTAGGCTAGTGCATTTTTTTCTTGTTGCAAAGCAACTGTTTTGGTCAGACTCTGTAAATTGAATACACATGCTTTAATACAGGCTCCTGTCTCTTCTGAATCTGAAATAATTTTGTGGTTATTTTTTAAACAATTTCTGGGAGGAAAAAAATTAACAATGAAAATCGTGTAACTTTAATGTACTTTTTTGTATCTTAAAGGGGAAACTTTCCTCATAAGTAAAATGAATTATTTGGCTGAGGGCTTCTGTTCTGTTAGTAACCAGCAACAGCATGGGTCTTTGGCTTTGGTTTGTGTTTTTGTTTCACAAAAATGATTCTGCTGAAAAATCTGAAGTTCATTTCCACAGAAGAATACGTATGAGTGAACCATGGTTGTGTGCATTTTTTTCAGTCTCTTCAGGACTGTTTAAATGCAAGACCCTTTTCATAACTCTGGCTTCAAGACATTGGGATAGGAATTAAAAATAAAGAATCAAAATATCACCAAAATTAAGAGGACGGAATCTACGATAATACCCCCCCACACCTGGCTCAAACTCTGAACTGCGAGTTTTTTAATAATTGAAAATACTTTCCAACAATCAGTATGGACAAGTAGTATTTAGGATTTTTCTGTGGGTATGAGGTTTCTTCTTTAGTGCTCCATGTTGGAATGAGTTAATGGGTGCCTTGTAGATTGACAACAGTGCAGCTTATTTTATGTGTTTTGTTGCCAATAGGCCATAGAAAGTGCGATAGGTGGCAATGCCTACCAGCACAGCAAAGTGAACCAGTGGACAACAAGCGTGGTGGAACAAACACTAAGTCAACTCACAAAGCTGGGGAAGCCTTTCAAGTATATTGGTGAGCTCAACTTTCTCTTTGCTGTTAAAGCTGGTACAATCAAGTGCACTGATGGGCAGGGGGTGAGGGAAGATCTTATCACAAACTGTGTCTGTAAACTCCTCATAAGCATGTATATATGCCTATGTGAATATGTATGCATTATGCTAAGAAAAAATATAGCTAAATGTTAATTATAGTGATAAATTAATAAAAGCTTCTCTACTGACAAACAGTGACCTGTGTGATTATGCAAAAGAATGGTGCTGGGCTACATACAGCAAGCTCTTGCTTCTGGGACAACTCCAGTGACGGTAAGGAAGATAACTGTTGGATTTTTCATCTTGCAGCTATAATGCTAGTCCCCTTAAGACTAGGCAACATACTTGTCATTTTTTTTCAAGTGCTATAGTTTTGGAATAATAGCAATTTTTTCCATTTGGCTGTGATGCCAACTCTTGAAATACTTAGCAGTTGTGAAAGCTTCATTCCTAAGATTCTAAAAGTAAAAACAATTTAAAACATCTATATAAGGGCATGTATTTAATCATTGTAACTTTCTTCTGTCTCCAAAACCCTTTTTTGAACTTGTAGGAACCTGCACTGTGAGATGGGAGAATAAGACTATGTACTGTATCGTCAGTGCCTTTGGACTTGCAATATAATTGCCTTGGAATCATTCATCCTTCTCTTTTCTACTCCAGCACTTGATTCCATCTCTACTCAAACTGTGAATACACTGAACAACTTCTGGTTTTAATGTACTTTTTAAGTAACTTTTTTCAAACTCAGAAACGTGAAAACATGCTGTTACATGGTTTGTTTGTACTTGTTATCGTATCAGTGTTGCCGTACTGTCTTAACACTTCAAGAACTTCTCTTCAAGGTGCTAATACTGAAATCCGCTGCAGCATAAACACTTTGTCTAGATTTCTTTTTTAAGACCAATACAAATGAGACACCAACTTTCCACAATTTGTACTTTTGGTTAGCATTAAATTATTGAAATCCATAACCATACGTGTGGCTCATTTAAACTTAACTCTTTGTTATTTAAAACAAAAGTTCCAGTTATTTTGTTTGGCTTTTTTTTT